ATAAGAAATAGAATTCTCAAACATTCAATTTCAGAAGAAAAAAGCTGAACAAGCCATAAATGACCTCCTAGAGGAAAAAAAAATCAGGTCCATATGGACTTGAAAGCAAATTCCATCAAAAATTCAAAGAACAATTAATTCCAATGTTACACAAACTATTTGCAAAAATAGGAAAAGAAATTCTACCAAATTACTTCTAATACAAATACAATCCTGATGTTTAAACCAGAGGAAAAAAAATGGAGAAAAAAACCCAAAAAACTATAGACCAAAATCCTCAAAGAACACTGATTACACACTATAACCTGGCTGCATCTATACCAGGAATTCAGAGCTAGTTTACCATCAGTAGGACAAATAAACACAACTGACATGTTAATAACAACAACAAAAATCATACTATTAAGATATGAAGAAAAAGTTTTTGACAAAATGTAACAGCCATTTGTTAAAATACTAGAAAACCTAGGAATACATGGACTTTTCTTTAACATGGTAAATAGTATATATCAAAAACCAAGGACCAGCATCATATGTGACAGGGATAAAGTAGAATCTTTTCCAAAACGATGATGGGTAAAGTAAGGATATTCACTGTTACCACTACTATTTGATAAACACTAGAAATGCCAGCCAGAGCAATAAAGACAAGAAAAAGAAATTAAGAGAATAAACATAGACAAAGACAAAACAAACATCACTTTGAAGATAATAGGATGGTGTACTTATACTTCAAGGCGCTAGGTGGTGCCATAGTGCACAGAGTGCTACATCCTGAGTCAGGAAGACCGCTCTTCCTGAGTTCAAATCCAGCCTCAGACACTTATTGTGTGACCCTGGGCAAGTCACTTCATCTTATTTGCCTCTGTTTCGTCATCTGTAAAATAAGCTGGTGAAGAAATGGCAAAACACTCCAGTACCTTTGCCAAGAAAACCCCAAATGGTTCATAAAGAGTTGGACACGACTGAAAAATGGCTGAACAACAACTTATACTTTGGAGTCTAAGATATACACAGGAATTCTAAGAATGTAACTATAAAACACCATTTACAGAAACAAAGACAGACTGAAATAATTGGAGAAATATTAAGTACTGGTGGCTGAGCCAATATAATAAAAATGGCAGTATCTCCTAATTTAATTTACTTATTCAGTGCCATAACAATCAAACTACCAAAGGAATACTTTATAAAGCTAGAAAAAAATAACTAAATTGATCTGGAGGAACAAAAAGGTCAAGAATCTCAAAGGAAATGATAAAAAAAAGTGGGAAGGAGGGGCAGCTAGGTGGCGCAGTAGATAGAGCTCTGGCCTTAGAGTCAGGAGGACCTGGGTTCAAATCCGGCCTCAGACACTTGAAACTTACTAGCTGTATGACTCTGGGCAAGTCACTTTAACCCCAATTGCCTCACCAAAAAAAAAAAAAGGGTGAAAAAAGTGGGAAGGGAGTCTAGCAGTATCAGATTTCAAACTATACTACAAAGCAGGAGTCAAGATGATTTGGTACTAGTTAAACAGAGAAGCCAATTAGTGGATCAGATGAGGTACACAACATACATAAGAAGCAAACATAGTCACCTAGTGTTTAAACACAAAAGACCCCAGTTACTGAAATAAAGACTCACTATCTGACAAAAACTGCAGGGAAAACTGTATAGCACTCTGGCAGAAATTAAGTTTAGACCAGCATCTCACACCATATACATCAAGATAAGCTTCATGTAAATAATTCCTTAAAAATTAGAATGAAGCAAATGGAAGCTAATGACTCTATGAGAAATCAAGAAATTACAAAACAAAACCAAAAGAATTAAAAAATAGAAGACAATGTGAAATATCTAATTGGAAAAACAACTGACCTGGAAAATAGGTCCAGGGGAGATAATTTAAAAATTATTGGACTACCTGAAAACCATGATCAAAAAAAGGGCCTAGACATCATCTTTCAAGAAATTATCAAGGCAGCTAGGTGGCACAGTGGATACAGCACCAGTCAGGAGGACCTGAGTTCAAATCCAGTCTCAGACCAAACATACTAGTTATGTGACCCTGGGCAAGTCACTTAATCCCAATTGCCTAAAAAAAAACAAACCAAAAACCAAAAACCAAAAACAAGAAATTATCAAGGAAAACTGACCTGATATTCTAGAACCAGACGGCAAAATAGAAATTGAAAGAATCCACCAAACACCTCCTGAAAGAGTTCCCAAAAGGAAAACTCCTAAGAATATTATAGCCAAATTCCACAGTTCCCAGGTCAAGGAGAAAATATTGCAAGCAGCCAGAAAGAAATAATTCAAGTATTGTGGAAACATAATCAGGATAACACAAGATTTAGCAGCTTCTACATTAAGGGATCCGAGGGCTTGGAATATGATATTCCGGAGGTCAAAGGAGCTAGGATTAAAACCAAGAATCACCTACCCAGCAAAACTGAGTATAATCCTTTGGGGGAAATAATGGACATTCAATGAAATAGAAGATTTTCAAATATTCTTGATGAAAAGATCAGAGCTGAATAGAAAATCTGACTTTCAAATACAAGACTCAAGAGAAGCATGAAAAGGTAAATAGGAAAGAGAAATCATAAGGGACTTATTAAAGTTGAACTATTTACATTTCTACATGGAAAGATGATATTTGTAACTTATGAGACCTTTCTCAGTATTAGAGTAGTTGGAGGGAATATATATAAATAAAATTAAGGAGTGAGAGAGAGGATTATACTGGGAGAAAGAGAAAGGGAGAGGTAGAATGGGGTAAATTATCTCACATAAAAGAGGCAAGAAAAAGTTTTTACAGTGGAGGGGAAGAGGGGGGAGGTGAGATTAGATTAATCTTTTTTATTGTAGCCCTATTCCCCTCAACTCTCTTCTCCTTACTCTTTTTTTTTTCACGAATTTGCTTTACTTGACTATGCATATCTGTTACAAGGGTTTTGTTTTTTTTCTTTTCTTTCTTTTTTTTAAATTTTAAAAATTAATTAATTTATTTTTAGTTTTCAACATTCACTTCCGTAAGATTTTGAGTTCCAATTTTTCTCCCCATCTCTTCTCTCCCCCACCCCAAAAATTACTAACCTGGTCATGTTTTACTTGAATCTGGTCATGTCACTAGAGAAATCAAATAGAACAAAGTCCTATGCACGCAAAAATATTTATGGCAGCTTTTTTTGTAGTGGCGAAAAAATGGTAAGCTGTGTTTGTGTGTGTGTGTGTGTGTGTGTGTGTGTGTGTGTGTGTGTCCCCATGCACTCATGCGCGCCCATCAATTGAGGGATGACAGAACAGATTATCATATATGAGTGTGATGGAAAATGATTCTGCTGTAAGAAATGAGGGGGATGGATTTAGAGAAGCTTGGAAGACTTGGATGAACTGATGCAGAAGGAAGGGAGCAAAAGCAGGAGAACAATTTATACTAGAACAACACTGGAAAAACAAACTTTGAAAGACTTAGGAACTCTGATCAACCCCATAACCAACTATGATTCCAGAGGATTCACTCTCCTCAAAAATGATAGGTGAGAGGCAAACACGCAGAACAAGACATACATCTTATGGATGTGGCCAATATGAGAACTGGTTTTGCTTGAATACATGTATTTGTTACAAGGGTTTTGTTCTTTTTTTTTTTCAAGTGGGGAGAGAGAAAAGGTTGGGAGGAAAAAAAATGGTTGACAATTTTTAAGAAACAGCAACTACTATGAACTGGAGAAAACCCAAAGCACTTAAAAGCCAGTCCATTCGACAGAACAGCCCTGTCTGCAGCAGATATGTGCCACATTTTGTACTCACGGTCCACACTTCTCTGCTAACAACAGAAAGGTGGGAGTGGGAGTGGGGTAGTCCCTTCCTTCTCAACAGGTCGAACTACCAGAGATGACCTATGCTCAGTTCAAAAACCAGCACCGCTCCGCCAGGACCACCTGACCACACCGACAGGGTGACTACAACGGCAGCTCAGAGGACATTAGAGACACAGACTCCCCTCCCATCTTGCTGTTTTCCTGGACAAGATGGAAAGACATGGCCTAGATGATGGTACAGTCAAGCAGCTTGGTTGGTGGCTGAATGACTGGATCCCAGATTCCCCTGGGATCTGTGCTTGGCTCTGGGTGGTCGGACATTCTTATCAATGACTTGAGGCCCAGAAACATCTATGGCCACAGCTTGGAGGGAGAGTGAACATACCGTTATGACCAGGTCTGGGCAGGCTAGCACATAGGGCCAAATTCACTAAGGCTAAATTTCACAGGGATAAAATATAAAGTTCTAGCCTTGAGTTTGAAAATAGAAATGTTATAAATACAGAACGGAGTCCCAGCATGGTCAGACAGCAGACTGTTGTGTGCAGGCTTGTGAGGAGCTAATGCTACTTGATGCGGTATGAGGAGAGGCAGTGTCCACAACGTGGGAGAGGTCAGCCCCATCTGTGGTCAGGTCTCAGGGCCGCATTTTGAGAAGGGTGCTGATAAGACTGTGTCTCTAGAACAGCAAATGAGGGAGGGTGGGCTGCCTGTCTGATGACACCTCACCATCCTCTCACTCAGGGCTCTAAAATGTGTGGGTTGGGAGTGGGGAATGGGGGCTTCCACCCCAGACAGCAGGTGGTGAAGCGGTCTGCAGGGGGAGTGAGGGGTGGGGTTGCTGGCAGAGGCAGATGCTGGGAAGAGCTGCCCCTAAGGAGAATGGGGCACAATAGCAGCCAGGCGCCTTGTTTTGGGGTACTGCAAGAAGGGAGCCTGCAGCGGAGCTGTGCCAACTTTGGCCAGGCCAGGGCAGGGGCCCTGAAGACCTGGGTCTCTCACTTTGTGGCTGGGGACACGCTTCCCTGGCTCTAGCCAGGGTGCTCATCTGTAAGACACTGCGAAGTGTCCGACTGTGTCCCTCTCAAGGCTGCTCCGGTGCATACGAGCCTGTCCTCATTCGAGTCAGGACTTCCCATGCCCAGGGCCCAGTTCTTGTGGCGGCACTGGCCTGGCTGGCCTTCTCAATACCTGAACGATCTCCTTGAGCTCCTCTATGGCCTTCTCCTCGAGCTCCCCGATCTGGGTCATGGCCTCCTGGAAGCTGGACATCTGGGATGAGAGCTCCTCTTCATCCTTGGACAGCTGGCCATGCCAAGCAGAGGACCCCGCTGAAATCCAGGCTCTGGCCGGCCGGCCCAGCCCACCCTTTCTCTCCCCCTTCTGTTCTGTAAGCCCCACTGTCTGGCTTCGCTTACGCCATGGGAGTGACTGGCGCCGTCAGAGTTGGGCTCCAGCTCGTCCCCCTCCGTCTCCATCTGGGTCTGCAGTTCCCCATTCCCACCGTTGTGAGGACTCAGCTCTTTGACCCTGGGCAGGTGGGAAGGACAGAAGAAAGGAAGTCAGGCCTGGGCTCCTCCCAGGCCGGCCCCTAGACGGTGGTGGGGGAAGTGGGCCAGGCCTGGCACCTCCCCCCTTTCCCACCCCAGCCCCGCCTGCCCCACAACACCAGAGAAGTCTTGCCCCACGTACCCGCTCTGTCCCGCGCTCGCCCACTGCCTTTGTACCTGTCTGCATATCTCAAGGTGTTTAGAGTATATTCACAGGAGCTCATCCCTGGGGAGATCATGGCGATCTGGGGAGGGAGACACGGCCCCAGTTGCTGAGTGGACTGGGGCTCCCTCGTAGGGTGAGAACTGGGCCCGGTTACCCGCGTGCAGGGGCTGTCCCATCCACCCCCATCTTCCCGAGACAGGCTGAGACCTGGCATTCCAGTTTAGTGGCCTCTGTCTCTTTTCACGGTTTTTACAAGACAGCACAATCTTTCTTTGTACCCATCCCTCCCTTGTTTCTGAGGAACTCTTGGAATAACCAGGATCCTGGTGGGTCAGAAAGAAGCCCAGAGCCCAGAGAGGCTCCCTTGGAGCAGGATGCTCAAGGGACCTGGAGGACTTGGGGGGGGGGGGGCCAGCAGCAAGCAGGTGAGGCTGCCCGAGGCGCTGAGGCTGCAGGTCACGCCCAGGGCTGGAGCTCGGCCCCTGACCTTCCCTTGCTTCCCAGAGCAGGAAAGGTTTCAAGCTGTGGGGGCAGGGCTTTGGGCACCCCCGTGGTCAGTGTCCATGGGCCAGGCACCTGGAGCACATCTGGACCTTACCATGCAGGTCCGTGAATTCTCCCCAATGAAGGAGTCCCTGAGCACTTGGGTCAGCTTGCTTTCCCGGAATGGTGTGTGCGACTTATTCTGCCCCAGAGCCCGAATACATTCCTGTAGGGCAGAGGGAGCCGCTGAGGTCCTGGGGCCCAGCACCCAGCCTCTCCGAAGGGGCCCCACCGCCCTGGCCTCTGGCCTCTACCTTCAAGGCCAGCAGGCTCTTGTTGATCTCAGCCCCTTCCATGCGAGTCTGCCGGTCGGCACTGGACGTGTCAGCCCCTCGCTCATTCCCGGCCAGATCCACCAGGGAGAACTTGCCATGTAGCTTCCCCTTGGCCCGGAGCAGGATCTGGAAGCAGGCATGGGATCGGGAAGAGCTGGCGTTGGCAAACGTCTGCCCCGAGGTCCTAGGGCACAGGGAGGGGCACGTTAGAGGGCGCCCCTGCCTGAGCCGCCTTCCGCAGGGGTGCTCAGGAAGAGAGGCAGAGACAGCCACAGCAGGCTCCGGCGTCCGGCCGCATGGCAGCCCCTGCCGGACGAAGGAGGCCAGGGCCATGGCAGTGAACCCTCAGGCCTCAGTACATTCCCATGTTGTTTATCCTGTGACATCCAGCCCCTTGACCCCTCAGTTCTCTCCCAGCATCACCCCTCCACTAGCCACCCTCTCCTCTTCTCCCATCTTGACCCCTTGGTGAATCAGTTCAACTCTAATTGACCAACCCTCACTTATATTGCCCATTACACCCAGCCATGCCTCAGCCTTGGATTACTCCCACCACATGCTGCTGAATGAAGGCAGAGAAACTCACCCATTCTACCTGGGCCTGTAATAAGTGTAAACCTCAACTGGGCCCTCTCTGCTGCTTGGCAGTCCTGCTATTCCTTATCAACACCCTCTCCCACTCTCCACAGAAGCCTTTCCAAACCTTCTCATCCCTCCTCCAACCTTCTCAGATGAGAAACCTGCCTCATGTTACACAAAAAGGTGACGCCACTCGCCATGAGCTCCCTCCTCCCCCCTCTTCCTCATCTTCTATCATGCCAATGCCTTCTGCCACTCTCCTCCTTCACGTCTGTCCCACATGAAGAGGTGGTCTTCCCCTACCATGGCTGAGCCCTCTACCTGCTCCCAGTCCATCCCGTCTCCTCCAGCACGCCAACCCCTCTGCCATCTTGACACTCTCATTTATCTTCAATCTCTCCCATTTTACTGGTTCCTTCCCCACTGCCCAAAAACATGTTTATTTCTCCCTGAAAAAACCCTCCCTTGATCCTTCCATCCCTATCATTCTATATCCCTTCTGCCCTTAGTGCTGCTTCAAAAGGCATCTACAACTGGGGCTTCCTCTTTCTTTCCTCTCACTGTCTTCTCAACCCCTTACAATCCAGCTTCTGACCGCATCATTCCACTGAAACTGCTCTCTCTGAAGTTATTAATGACCTCCTAGCTGCCAAATCCAGTGGCCTTTTTCCCGTTCTCATTCTCCTTGCCCTCCATGTGGCTTCTGACAGCCGATCACTCTCTCCCCCATGACACTCTCTTCTTGCCAGGTTTTCAGGCCACCTCCCCTCCCTCTCCCCTGGTTCTCCCACCTCTCTGCCTGCTCCTTCTCAAGTCTCCTTTGCTGAATCCTGTTCCAGATCACACCCTCTACCTATACGTGTCCCTCAGGGTTCTGTCCCGGGCCCCCTCACCTTCTCCCTCTATACCCTGTCACTTGGTGACCCATGAGCTCCCGTGGATTTCATGACCATCTCTATGCCGGTGATCCTCCAGTCTACCTCTCCTGTCTAATCTCTCTGCTGACCTCGAGTCTCACATCACCAAGTGCCTTTCAGACATACCAAACTGGATATCCGATAGACCTCTTAAACCTGACCTGTCCAAATCGCAAACTCATTTTCTTTCCCCTTAAACCCTCACCAGCTTCTAAATTCCCTTATTACTCACGGAGCACACTACCACCCCCTCAGTCTCCCTAAGCTGGCAGCCTGGTGTCATCCTGGATCCCTCGTTCTCACTGACTCCCCCCAAATCCAATCTACTGACAAGTCCTGTGGATTTCACCTTTGTGGCATCTCTCCAACACGCCCCTTCCTCTCCTCTGACACTGCAGGTGCCACTCCATCCCCCTCCCCTTTTACAGGCCTTCAGCACTTCACACCTGGACTATTGCGCCAGCCTGGGGCTGGGTCTGCCAGCTTTAGGTCTCTGCCCATTCTGGTCCATCCTCCATTTAGCTACTAAAGTGATTCTCCTAAAGCATAGACCCAATTATGTCATCTCCTCACTCAGTAACTCAAATGGCTCCCTGTTGCCTTCAAGATCAAATACAAGATGTCCTGTCTGGTGTTCAAAGCCCTTCACAAGCTGTTTCCTCCCCTCCCCTCCCACTTTCCAGTCTTCCACTTTACTCCTTCTTCCCTGTATTTTTAGCCTCCTGGCTGTGTCCTGGCCTTCTCCATACAGACCCTGCATCTCCCAGCTCCGGGCCTTTTCTCTGGCTATGCCCCCTGCCTGGAATGCTCTCCCTCCTCCTCTCCGCCTCCTGGCTTCCCCGGCTTCCTTCACATTCTGGCTAAAGTCCTACCTTCTACACAAGTCTTTTCCCATCTGTCTTATTTCCACTGCCTTCTCTCTGTTGGTCATTTCCTATCTATCCTGCACATGACTTGCTTTGTATATTTGTTTACATGTTGTCTCCTCCTTTAGAGTGTAAGCTCTGGAGGGCAGCTAGGTGGTGCAATGGATAGAGCACCGGCACTGAAGTCAGGAGGACTCAAGTTCAAATCCAGCCTCAGACCACACACTTGACACTTACTAGCTGTGTGACCCTGGGCAAGTCACTTAACCCCAATTGCCTAAAAAAAAATTTAAAAAATAGAGTGTAAGCTCCGTGGGGGCAGGAGCTGGCTTTTGTCTTTCTTTATATGTCTAGTGCTTGGCACAGTAGGTGCTTAATGAATGCTTGACTGAGCTGCCTGCCTACCCCATGAAAGTCAGGGGAGATTCCCCATGACTGTTTAACTCCAGTGCCAAGTGCAGCAGCAGCAGATGACAGAATGCAATGAGAAGGGAGACTCAGGCCCCATCACTGCTCCTCCATGGCTCCTCCCAGCTCTTCGTTGCCACATGATTAACAGGGCCTTCTCACCTGCAGGCGCTGCCCGTCTCAATCATCCTGATGACATCGTCAGCTGAGTTCACCAGGTGCTCCTGCAGCCCCACCACCTGCACCTGCTGCTTGCCATCTTCTAGTACTCTAAGCTTGGCCTTCTTGTTCAGGAGGTCAAAGAGCTACAGTGGGGAAGGCAAAGGGGGCCCAGCTGGCAGAGGTGACCATGGGCACCACAAAGGGGGCCCAGCTGGCAGAAGTGGCCCATGGCACCACATCTTCCTCCCTCTCCCCTCACCACTCCCCTTCCTCCAGGGTGCTGGGAGCACATGATCCTCTAGAGAAAGAAGCTGGGTCAGAAACAAGGACACCTGGGGAGAAAACCCCGACTAGGAAAGCTAGGTGCCAGGCCAGCAAAGAGGTTACTTGACAAATGAACAGCTCTTTGGGGCACTGGGACTGTCTGGAGTCCTGGCCTGAGCCCCAAGCTCAGGGAGCTGAGAGATGAGCTGGTCTCTCAGGGGCTGCTTGACTAGGTGACCTCCTCTCAGCTCAACACTGATAGGAAGGGATAGAGGGATTGAGCAGAACAGGGTCCCCTGACCCAATTCCATCCCCATCTACTGACCTTCCCATTGTAGATCTCAAAGAAGGTCACGTAGACTTCGAGGCCAAGGGTTTTGTATCGGGGCTGATTCTTTAGCAAGAAGACATCTCGTGCTAGAGGGAAGACAGGGAGGCAGGAAGGAGGGATGTCCTGGGAGCAGCCTTCACTCCTGTCTCTAAGTAGGAGGGGGAGGGAAGCCCTGGGCTAGTAGGGGGAGGGAGTTCAGCTTGGCCATAACTCCTCAAGCTATGACCTGAAGCCAGGATGAAATGAGGCTTCCGTGAGACTTACAGGCAAATGCGTAGATGCCCTTGGATGCATTCTGGCTTTTCCCAGAGAAGTCACCGCCCATCGTCTGCAAAGGGAAGCAGCAGCCCCATCAGCTGAGGGGACGTGCCCAGGACCCAGCATAGATGAAGCCTTCAACAAGAGACACAGCATCCCCTTTCACTCTCCCCACTGGGCCACTCCTCACTCTCCTCCCTGTGGAGACCCTCAGGTAAACCAGCACACTGAAAAGGTTGCCAGGTGAGGCTCTATCTGCAGGTCACCTTGTAGCAGGGGCTCAGTCCCTTGGCGAGACTCACATGGGTTTTGCCACTGCCTGTCTGGCCATATGCGAAGCAGGTTGCCTTTCCTCCTTCAAAGATCGTCTGTACCAATGGTCTGGCTGTGAACCTACAAGGAAAGAAGGCTGGGGGCTGGGGAAAGGTTGCTGCCCTCTGAAGCACATCTTGGCCCCTCTCTGGCTCGGTCTGACAAAACGCATCTTAACTTCCTCCTTAGGGCTAAGGGGTCACTAACTTGGCAGAACTGGGAAAGCCGCAGCTAAGCCCCAAACTGCAGTGTCCTATCAGAACCCGACTTCGGAGTGGCCACCAGCAAAGGGCTGGCCAGAAAGATCTTCAGCCCTCCTGGAAGCCCTGACAGAACACTAGCAGAGCTTCCTACTCCTTGGACGGTACAGGAGCAAGCCTCTTGGGCATATCTGCACAGGACAATCTTGGGCTCAAGGCCAAAGGCCCGCTGCTTCTTTTCTGGCTGCCAAACCCATTGGCAGGACTTGAAATCCAACAGTTTGTGTGGGGCAGACCCAGCCTAGGTTCAGATGGCCTCGAGCTCCCCAAGCAGAGCAGGACAGAGGAGGCCCAAACGAAGGTCCCGAGGCTTCGCTGGGAGGAGGACTGTAAGGGATATGCAGAACTCTACCTGTAGACAACCTCATTGGATGCCGTTTCATCAAAGGCAAAATCGAAGCGGAACGCCTGGTTCTCCAGGTACTTGGTCAGGTCCACTTTCAGTTTGGGTTCGTGCACTAGAAGGAGGCACTTGCTGGGAACTGAGATCACATCAAACTCCTTCTTGGCCAGTTCTGCAAGAGGAAAGCACAGGTTTGCAGCCTCAGGAGACATGCCCAGGACACACACGTGCACACATGTGTTGAGCCCACAGTGTGGCACAGGCTTACCTTGTTTATTAAGAGGGCGCTTCCTAACACAGACACATATCCGATGTTCCTCTATCTGTGGGGGAGTGACAGGAAGACAAGCCATTCAGCACCCCAATACCTGCCTCCCCTAAGGCTGGACCCCAGGCAGAGGCTCTCCATTCTCACATAGGCCCTAGCCGCCACCCCCTCCCCCCGCCCACATGCTGTGCATGGCAGCGGCTCGTCAGAAGGTCTGAGTCACACCTGGACTGCATGGACACTCACTGACCAGGGGGCAGAGCAGCACGGCTGCTGTCCAGTCAGCGGCCAAACACACTTACAGGGTCAGTCATGGTGAGTCTCTGACAGTCCAGAGTAGCTCGGAATTCCTTAATCATCCGTGCAAATTCCCAGTTTGGCAGGCTAGTATCATATTCCTGTGGGGCAACAATGGATGGGAAAGGGACCACTGCACCAGTTTTCTGGGGCCTCCACCTGTGCAGAGAGTACTGGAAAGTACCCCCAGAGTGAGCCCAGGCTCAGAGGTAGGGGGACCCCAAAGGGTTCAGGACCCATAGGTGGGGGAAGCCCCAAAGGGCTCAGGGCCAAAAGGGAGGGGTGATACGCAAAGGATCCTAACAAAAGTCCTAAAGTATCCCAAATCCACATTCAGCCCGTACAGAACTAGTCCCTTCAGAACAGAGATGCTAACCCATGGCCCACTGCATCCAGGCCCTAGGAGCCCAAACACAGGGCTCCATGTGCCTTTAGACCTCCGCTAGGAAAGGTGTGGTGTGGATTGAGACAAGGCCTCGCTGGGCCCCAGGAAAGCACCTGTGCACGCTTGATCCGCATTTCTGAGTTCTGAGCCCTTTTTTCTTCTCGTTTTGTCTTCATTTTTTCCATTTCCTTCACTAGGCATGACTTCCTTCGAACTAGGAAAAAACCCCAACCCATTGTCATTTGTGAGAGCCTGCTTCCTTCTAGGTGTGTAGCCACAGCTCTCTGGGCTGGGGGGGGGCCGGCGGGCCCCCTGGGCCAGCTGAGCCTGCAGCCCCATCTCCCACAGCTCTGTCCCTCCCAGGCACCCTGTTCATGAGCTCGGGCAGAAGTAGCAGGAGCCACACAGAGTCAAGAGGTCACTTCAGAACAAAGCTTGGAATCAAATCTCTCCATTCCAGCTGGTTCTCGGGGTACTTTGTGCCAAAGTCACCTCCTTAAAACACATCTGACCACAGACCCCTAGTGCATCCCTTCTAGGATGGGAGCTGTGAGAGGAAATGCTTCCTCAGCAGGCCTGCAGAGCCCCGCTGCTTCCACTTGGCCTCTTCCAGCCTCGGGCCTCCCTTGCCCAGCCCAAGCCTTCTGGGGCTCCCTGCCCTTGCCCAGCACTGACTCCTCTACCCCTTGTGCTATTTTAAAGGAGATGCCATCCGATGGTTATAGTTTTCTGGGGCTAAATGGTGTATCCAGCACGAAGGGATCCTTTCTCTTGGCAGATCAGGCATGCTTTACCATTGCCTACTGAAATCCTTCTCCTGCTTCTGGCGCCCAGGGTCAGGGCTCTCTCTTCTCAGCGGCTTCTAGACCACATGGTCTCACTCACCTTGGTCCCCTCATGTTCTTCCTTTGGAGCACCCTTATTTGGGGACAGGTTGTGACTGGCCAGCCCCTTGGGGACGAGGACTTGTTCGTCCTCTTGGGACCCCTAGCACTCACTGCCCACGGGGCATCTGATTATCTGATTCGAGGCCCTTTGAAAACACAGCCCAAATTCCAGCCCCGGCCCCATCCCCAGCCAACCTGTGAAAGAAGGGCATTGGCCTCTGCTCTATATGAGTGAGAGGGTCTTAGCCCACACCATTATGGGCAATGCCAGGAGGGCCAACATGATGGGCATCCTTGTAGCAGGCATCCCAGGGGACAGACACAGCTGGGCCAAGGCCCTGCCAGTTGCCATCTATGGTGCTCTAGGAAGGAGGCTGGACAAGCAATGTGCCTCCATGTAGCCCCATTCAAGGGAGGAGCCAGGAAGGAGCCCTGAAGCCCCGCTTGCTGCCTCCCCATCACACTGCCCCTCCCCCTAGCCGGCCTCTGGCACTACCTGAATTTGCTGGGTTGGCAGCAGAGTTGCCTCGGATGGAAGACGTCTGTTCTTCTGCAGCCTCACTGACAGCAGCCAGGGGGATCTCGCTCATGCCAGCACGCGGGGCACGAGAGAGACCCGCTAGGAAGGGGGAGAGGCAAGTATTGGCAGGAGCCTGGCCAGCCTGAGCACAAATGTGGCAGGCCGAGTGCCAGAGCCTCTGGGCCTGAGGACAACAGCACTGGGCTCAAGATGTCAGCGCCTTTCCCTTCCCTCGTTCACACAGACAGACACACAGACAGACACAGATACAGAGACACACACAGAGACAGACAGACACACAGACACAGAGACACACAGACACAGAGACAGAGATACAGACAAACACAGAGACACAGACACACACACACACACACACACACATACAGACATACAGACAGACACAGACACACAGGCTCCTCTCAAATCTCAACCACCAAGTCTAGGCCTGTCTCCTGGTCCTCCCAGCCATCCTTCTCCCTGCTTCTTGATACCACCCTTTTCTTTGTAAATGTCTTCTGGATCTTGGCTCCTGCAACACACTCCGTCCGTCTGTTTTCCCATGCAGCCCCGGCCCCAGGCCTCGCACAGACGCTCCTTCCACTGGAGCCTACTGTTTGCCCATTCTGCCTCACCATCCCAAAGCTCTTCTTTCAAAGGGCACCCAAGGCCTCTACCACCACAGCCATAGGCATGGATTCCTCTGAAGCACAGGACACTAATGATTAATCCTCAGGCTCCCCAGGTCCCTCATTACCTCTGACTACTGCTAGTGTCTTCCCCAGAGCTGAATCACAGAGCAAGCATTTAAGAAATGCTCATTCATTCATTCATTCATTTATCCTTTCTTCCTCCTCTCTCCCTATCAAGGCTGGCATTTCTCAGGGATGCTCTCTGCCTTTCTCTTCTCTCTGGTCTTTCCTTAAGAGGGTTCATCCCGGGGCAGCTAGGTGGCACAGTGGATAGAGCTCTGGCCTTGGAGTCAGGAGGACCTGAGTTCAAATCTGGCTTCAGACACTTGACATTACTAGCTGTGTGACCCTGGGCAAGTCACTTAACCCCAATTGCCTCACCCCCCCCCCCAAAAAGAGGGTTCATTGAATCCTTCCATGGCTTCAGGTCCCTTATCTTCAAGAAAGAATTTCAAATTTCTCTCTAATCCAGACCCCTCTCTTCAGCTCCCTAGTCTATTTGCCAAACACCACTAGGACCCTCCTGCCTCAGACTCATGCCCAAAGTCAAACACTGTGTCCAATAAAGTCTCCTCTATCTCTTACAAACAACATGGCCCAGAGTCTTCCTCACAACAGAGCCTTCCAGAATCAAGAACCCCTCTTCTCCATTCCCCGTCCATATTCCTTCTGCCCATGGCCTTCTACGTAGCCCCTCTGCACTGAGGCTGCCCCCTCGAGTTACCCCCATCCACATGCTGGCAGTCATCTTCCTAAAACTCACCCAAGGCTCAGAAACCTTCAGTAGCTCTCCAGCACCAACAGGAAGAGGTCCCAATGCCTTGTCCTTCAAGGCCTCAGTACTGGCCTACCCTAGCTTCTCTCTCCTCCACTCGCCTATATCTCCCTGCCTAGGCCCCTGCCCGTGACAGCTCTAGTGTACTCCCACCCAAGCCAGGGGCCTCTGGTTCACAGCACTGTCTGCAGAGCACCTGCAGCTCTCTCATGCCTATATTAGAGGCTCATCCCCACAGGAGAAGCAGGGGGTATCTTAGCTTCAGAGATGCCCTCCACCCGGGGACCCTGGGGTGGGGAGAGGGCCAACAGGGAAGTTCCAGCCCTGAGCCCAGAGGGGCTCACTTCCCTTCCTCCTGCCAGTCCTGGCACTTATGCCAAGGCGTAAGTCCCTCTGAGTCCCCAAGTCTGCATCATCAACTCCAAGTCAGGCTCTCTTTGTCACTTACTGGGAATTGCAAACTGGCTCCTGGTGTTGGCAGCTGCTGAGGGGTCTACCTCCATGTCATTCTCCTGGGCCAGGAGCCTCTGAGTCTGTGCGATGGCAGACATCCGGGTAGAACGGCCACGCAGAGCTGGAGGAATGAAAAGGCCAAGACAGCTAGTGAGAGGGACAAGGTGGAATGGGAGCTCGGGCATAAGGGAGGGTGAAGGATCCACATTTTCTCTGTCTGCCAAGCCAGGAGAAATGAGCCACATGCAGACTGTCCCAAGGCTCATCGCGCTGAGGCGCTCTGCGGCTCTTTTCCTGGCAAGGCTGACATCTCTCACTCTCCTGCACCAGGATGGCAGGAGGTGGCCCCATGAGCGAGGAGATTGGCCTGTTCCTCCAGCTCCAGTCAGAGGGTGCTGGAACTGGGAGGCACAGAGACGCCACAGACTTTAGGACTGGAAGGACCTTGACAGCCAATCAGTCCAACCTGCACCCAAAAGGCGCAGTACCCCCAAGTAGCAGTCACTGAACCTCTGCTCAAAAATCTCGCCCTTGCAGGCTGCTCCCCTCTGGACATTGCTCCCTCTAGTGACCTGCTCACTGGGCATGGCTTCCAGGAGTTAAAGGGGACTGGAAGTCTCAGAGCAGCTTTGGGGAGCCCCCGCTCCCCTGCTAGGTTTTCTAGGCAGGCCCTGAAGTTGCTGGTGGCCACTGAGTTCTCTGCACAGAGCTTCTCTTGCCACAGAAGACAACAGCCAAGCTAAGGAACGGCAACTGAAAAGCCCAGCCTCCTAGCTAAGACCCCCAGACTTGGCAAACACTGACCCAGCAATAGCACTTCTAGGGCTGTATCCCAAAGAGATCATACAAACGGGAAAAGGACTCACATGTGCAAAAATATTTATAGCAGCTCTTTTTGTGGTGACAAAGAATTGGAAATTGAGGGGATGCTCATCAATTGGTGAATGGCTGAACAAGTTGTGGTATATGAATGTAATGGAATACTATTGTTCCATAAGAAATGATGAGCATTCTTGGCAAACACAGGGAACCAAAGATCTTAACCTAAAGAGGTAAGTACAACCTCATAGGCCTCTGTGATTTGGTAACACATAACTAACTCAAGGCCAGAAGATGGCTATGGAAGGTTATACCACCTTATCCAAAAGGAATAGATAACAAGTAAAATGTTACTCTACCACCCCTTTTATACAGGGAAAATGGTCACATGAGAGGCAGCACGGAGTAATGGACAGAGAACTGGCCACCTTAGCTAAGAAGGTCTTCTGACATATACTGGGCCATGTCACTTATCCCCTAGACAACTCCCTCCTAAGATCATAAAGTTGTTGGGAAGGTGCCAAACAGACCCAAGCCCTATTCTATCTATATTTCCACTTGGAAATCCAAGACTAGAGTCTAGGAAGTCAATGGACGAAGAAACAGACCCATGATCTTTATGACTGAAGAATACCAGAGCTGACCATTTCAAGTTATCCAGGCACCAGGGATAGAAAGATAGCCACGAAAGAGCCGCTCTCCTTCCTATGACTTTGTGCTCCCTATCTGGTCTGAAGGAAGAGGCAGATGATGAGCTTGGGAAACCCATCATAAGCCTGTCATGGAGGCATACGATGAAAGAATGGTGGGCATGTAGGCTAAATGAGATGACTTGTGATCAGGAGGAAAGGGGACGTACTAGCCAGGTCCAAGGGGACACATGTCTCCTACCCCCATCCCCCTGATCCTGGGGGATCAGATTTTAGCCAGTTCTCAGAAGCACCACTGTCCTAAGATGATCTTTAAGGAAAGTTAGGCCAAGAAAGGTGGAATGATTCCAAGAATGAAATTCTGTTAATGTAAATGTATCAAAAGGAGAAAGTTAGCTGGAAACTGATATTAATGTACACAGGGAACCCATCAAAGCCAGCTTAGGTTTAAAAAAACCCAAACTCAGCTCACCAGGAACAAAAATGTACTGTCACATCCCAATCCCTGATGTGCTAAATTAGGAATCAGAAAGAGCACTGAAGAAAAAAATGGGGACAGCAGCTGGACTATACTGAGGTCTGAGGTCAGTAATAACTGGAAAGGACAATTTTTGATGGCAGAGGGCACCAAAATAGAGGGGCGGAAGTCTCAGAGAGCTATCATTGATCACTAAAAGGAGTTTAAACCAAAACTAGCTATTAGGAGAACCAAACAGGTGAAGCATGCCCATTGTCTGGAGGAAGCCGTACAGCTGGATGGACAAGCCACAGTGTCAGCCCCTGGACATGCAGATCGTGGGCAGATTCTTACAACAATGCTGCCCGGCTGGCAAGGCCTGGCATCTCAGACTCCAAAGAAGTCAAGGTGTGGATCACAGAAAGGGCAATGGAGGCTACACTGGGCACCAGCAGGTGGCAGCACGTTACCAGTCTAGACTATACCAATAAGAGAAGAAAAAGAAATGGAATTAAGATAGACAATGAGGAAATAAAACTATCACTCTTTGAGGATGATATGATGGGATACTTACAGAATCCTAGAGAATCCACTAAAAAAGTTAGTTGAAATAATGAACTTCAGCAAAATTGCAGAATATAAAATAAAGCCATATAAGTCATGAGCATTTCTATGTATTACCAACAAAGGAGGAACAGAGAAATTCCACTTAAAATAACCGTAGACGATATAAAATACTTGGGAATCTACCTGCCAAGACAAACCCAGGAACTATATGAACACAATAACAAAATACTTTTCAACAAATAAAGTCAGATCGAAACAGTTGGAGAAATCTTAACTGCTCATGAGTAGGCTAAGCTAATGTAATAAAAACTGACAATTCTACCTAAATTAATTTACTTATTCAGTGCCATACCAACCTACCAAAAATTTATTTTACAGAGCTAGAAAAAATAACAAAACTCACCCACAGAAGAAGAAAAGTTCAAGAAAATCAAGGGAATCATTGAGAAAAACGTGAAGGAAGGTGGCAATACCTAGCAGTATCAGATTTCAAACTATATTGCAAAGCAGTATTCAACAGAACAATGTGGTACTGGCTAAGAAATAGAATTGTGGATCAGTGGAATAGATTAGGTACACAAATGACTACAGTAATCTAGCAAATGATAAACCCAAAAGACTCAAGCTTTTGGGACAAGAACTCACTATTTGACAAGAACTGCTGGGAAACCTGGAAAACAGTACGGCAGAAACTAGGTCTAGACTAACATCTTACACCATTTATCAAGATAAGGTCAAAATGGGTGAATGATTTAGATATAAAGCAAATTAGAAGAGCAAGGATTAGACTACCTGTCAGATCTACGAAGGGAAGAATTTATGACCAAACAAGAGATAGACAACATTATGAGATATAAAATGAATAATTTTGATTACATTAAAATAAAAAGGTTTTGCACAAACAAAATGAATGTACCCAAGATTAGAAGGAAAGCAGGAAACTGGGGAAAAAAGATTTTACAGCAAGTTTCTCTGATAAAGGCTTAATTTCTCAAATATATAGAGAACCAAATCAAATTTTTAAGAATATGAGTCATTCCCCAACTGATAAATGATCAAAGAGTATGAAAGGCAGTTTTCGGATGAAGAAATCAAAGCTATCTATATTCACATGAAAAAATGCTCTAAATCACTACTGATTAGAAAAATGCAAATTAAAACAACTCTGAGGTACCAACTCATACCTATCAGATTGGCTAATATGACAGAAAAGGAAAATGACAAATTTTGGAGGGGATGTGGGAAAATTGGGACACTAATGCACTGCTGGTGGAGTTGTGAACTGATTCAACCAATCTGGAGAGTAATCTGGAACTATGCTCAAAGGGCTATAAAATTATGCATACCCTTTGACCCAGCAATAGCACTACTAGGTCTGTATCCCAAAGAGATTAGAAAAAAAAAAAAGGAAAAGGACCTAGATGTACAAAAATATTTATAGCAGTTCCTTCTGTGGTGGCAAAGAACTGGAAATAGAGGAGATGCCTATCAATTGGGGAATGGCTGAACAAGTCATATATACGATTATAGTGGAATACTATTGTGCTATAAGAAATGACAAGCGGAATGGTTTCAGAAAAACCTGACAAGACTTTTATAAACTGATGCAAAGAGAAGTGAGCAGAATTAGGAGAACATTGTACACAGTAACGGTTATGTTGTATGATGATCAACTGTGGATGCCTTAACTATTCTGATCAAGACAATGATCCAAGACAATTCCAAAGCACTTATGATGAAAAATGCTAGACACCTTCAGAGAAAGAGCTGATGGAGTCTGAATGCAGATCAAAGCATACTTTACTTTAATTTTCTTGTTTGTTTTTTTGGTCTGTGTTTTCTTTTGCAACATGGCTAATATGGGAATATGTTTTGCATGACTTCACATCTATTATCTATATCAAATTGCTTGACTTCTCAAGGAAGGGTGAGGGGAGGGAGGGAGAGAATTTGGAACTCAAAATTAAAAAAAAAAAATGCCAGAATATTTTTTACACATAATTGAGGGGAAAAAAAATCAAATGACAGCAAACAAAAATTATACTAGAGATTCAGACCCAGAGAGGGTCCTGCCTGTGAAGGCAATGGACAAGAGAATACTGAATCAAAGTACAGGAAAGAGAAGCAAGCAGGTAAAGAGAGGACAGACACAAACCACAGCTTAATCCTGTATCAGAGGCAGACACCTTTGGGACAAGTTGAGGTGGAGGCCCATAAGGAGGCTCAAGACAACCTGAGAAAATGCAAGATGGGATTATGATATTGGAGAAAACAGTAAGACTCACTTCCTTAGGGTGAGAACCAAAGTGGTTAAACAGGGAAATGGCACTCTGGACTGATCACAAAGACTTCAGGTTATCAGACCTGGACCAATACCCCTGGACCCTGAAAACACTAAACATGATTTCCGGAAAAAAAAAAAAAATCCTGGAGAGACAGTTTGGTGTAATGGATATGCTCTTGGGACCAGGAAGACTTGGGTTCCAGCTCTCCCTCTGACACAAGCTGCCTAGGTGACTCTTGACAAGTAACTTAATCTCTCAGGGCTCCCAGGCAACTTTCCAAGTCTGTAATGAAGAGCTGGTGCCCATCTGCCTTTGGAGAGGGAGTTAGCTCTCTACACCAACGGAAACAACACAAATCTGGTCCAAAACAAAACCAGGTCTAACCACTTCAACCAAAATATCATAGAGAAAAGGAACATCACTGTAGAACCAGATGGGCTAAACAAGGGGAAGGCAGGGGAGTAGAATCCTCAGAGTAATGATGTTGAATCTTGGCAAAATTCCCTCTCATTATTCAAGGGATGGATGAGGAGGATTTAGAAAGGGAAGCAGCAACAATCACTAGACAGGGGGCCATCAAGAAAATTTCAGTTAACTGATTTCTTTTATTGACAGAGTTACCAGGTCAGCAGACCAGGTGAAAATTGTAGACACAGCATTACCCAAATTTCAGCAAGGAATGCTAAAAGTGTCACCTGATAGCAAGATGTGAGCAAGACGGTGACACAGGGAGATAAATTCATACTCATCAATGGATCACTGTGCCACAAGGGAGAAGTCTGCAATGCAGGAATCTAGGACATATTCACTGCTCTATTCTCTTTGACATTTTTAGCAGTGATTTAGATGAAGACATAGATGGGCGGTAAATTTGCAGATGACAAAGCCTGGGGGTATAGCCAGTAAGTCAGTGCTAAACTATGTTAGTATATTAGATCCAAAAACCTCAAAAGTTGGAAAAATGGGCTGCATCTTAACAGGGATAAACATAAACAGGTGTTCAAAGGAACCTTCATGAATACCAGGTAAGGGAGGTGGGCATCATGCGTGCTGAATGAGACAATAAAGTGCCAAGAGCCAATAAGCTCTTTGATGCACTAAGAGCAGAGTTCTCGGAATAAGACAGGGTGAGAGTCCCATGGCCCTCTGACCCTAGTCAGACAACACCTAGGCCACTGTGTTCAGAATGGAGCAGTTTGCCCAGAGGACTGTGAGGATGGCAAGGATACCATGTCACACAAAAGTTAAAAGATGAAGGACATTCAGCCTGGAGAAGAGCATGCTTGGGTGCGTGTGTGTGGTAACTGAAGGGCTGTCATATGGAAGAGGATGCAGACTTATTCTGCTTGGTCTCAGAGACTTGAGGTGGAAGTGGTCAACGCAGATTTAAGTGAATGGGTTTCCTTGGGAGGTCAAGAGCCCCATATCACAGGATGTAGGTCTCCAGGTCAACACTAGAGGACCACTCATCAGGCAGGTTACAGAAGGGACTGGCCTGGGAAGCCCTGAGCTGCCTTCCAGTGTGGGACGCTACAACTTCCTCACCTAGCGGCATGTCCTCACCACCTTTACTCAGAAAAGAAGCCAGATGGGTATCATGCCATGCTCACAGTGGGCACTGAATGAATGGAACTGAATTGTGCAGTAAGGTGATCTATAGATGATCAGAAATGAGAAATGAATTTGGGGACTGAATGTCAGATGTGACATGATTTCAGCAGGGAACTCCCACCTCAACACATATTGTAACCAGTCTATGGGATTCGGGAGATTAGTCCTAGGGAGTATCAAGCACAAACATCGGGAGGCAGGATGGGAATCCACACCCCATACTATCTACTCAGTCATACCACCTCTCTGAAGGCTTTACAACCTGAACCAAAAAACTCCAAAACATCTAAGAATCCTAGACTGACAGAGAGCCTAAAGCACCAGATGGGGCACAAGGTTTTCTCTCACAGGGCGGGGGGAGCACCGGCATCTCTCATCAATGCTCCAAAACCTCCCCGAGACAGTTCAACGCTCTCCCCACAACGAATGCTTTTAGCACACTGGCACCTCAACTATGCCCTGTGGAACCAAAAGGACAAGACTTCTAAATTCTATGACCCCTAAGAAAAACCAGTTCTCATGATTTCCATCCCTTTCTCTCAACTCTGCATTTTTTCAGGTGGCTGTGGACAGTATTCTCTGGTCATACAGCCATTAACAGTAAGAGTCCACAACAGGATGGTCAACAGACTTACTTACAAACACACCAAATTCCCCAGCCTGATCCTCTGCCTTTGGGGGACAGGGAGAGGTCTGTCATTTCCTCCAGCACTGCTGTTGGCCCTTCCAACAACCAGTCACAGGGAGACATTTAGAAAGCAGATTTGGAGATTATACTTTTCCCAGAGAGGGTGCTAAGCAATGACAAAAGCAGACTGACAGCAGCACAGGGCGGCCAGGGCTAGACACCCCCCCTTCCCTGCTCCCCCAAAGGCAGGCCACCTCTTTTGTGCTCTTCCAGAACACTCCGTGCTTGGAATGCTTGATCTCCTCACCTCAGCTAGCATCTCTGGGTTCCTTGCAGACTCGGCTCAAATGCCCTTCCCCCAAGGAGGGCTTTCTTGGTCCCCCTGCTTGGTAGTGCCATCCCCCTAACCATCCAGGATGTACTGACTGGTAGGGGGTGTGTCCCCCATGGGAATGTAAACTCTGTTCTTGCTTTTCCTTTGCAGCCCCAGTACCTGGCCAACTCAAAGTCATTCATGTCTACTTATTGACCAGTCAGAGTGATTGGTGTCAGGCGGTAATACAGTGAAAGCACTGGATTCCTGCTCAGAGAAGTGACCACAAGGACTTTCCTGGCAGGGACAGAGGATCCAACGCTGTCCGTGCAGAAGCCACAGCCCCACGGTGGCAGAAAGGCAGGTGTGGGGAGCAAACTAGTGAGCAGCAGCTCCAGCGCCAGGCCTGCGAGAGGGGCTGCACAGCACACACCAGTCAGACGCACTGTGTTTACCTTCTTTGGGAGCAGGGATTTTGGAGAGGGTTGATCGGCGCTTTTGTTTCTGGGGAGAAAAAAAACACAAAGAGGGCACAGAGGTGTTGGCCCTTCTTGGCTGGGTCCCTCACCTCACCCCGCCCTGAGGGTGACCTACCTGGACGGTGACATTCTCCTGCAGAGGCAGGCTATCCTTCGGGTGGACAGGGAGAGGAGACAGTTGCAGAAGCTCCGGGTTGATGGCTGCCACGTCCTCAAAGTCAATCTGCAATAAGCAAGCAGAGAGTTCAGCGGGACAAAGTCATTTGCTTAGCTCCCATCCAGGCTGGAAGCCCAAGCTGCCTGGAGAGTCTCACCAACAGCTCATCCTTAAGAGATGCAGGCTGACACTGTGGGATGACTAATATTGATAAACTTAACCCCTCCCAGCAATACAAGGATCTAGGACATCTCCAAAGGCCTCATGGAGGAAAATGCTATCCACATCCAAAGAAAGAACTATGGAGTTTGAATGCAGACTGAAGCATACTATTTGCTATTTTTTTTCTTCTGTTGAGTTTTGTTTCCTCTTTCTGGTGGTTCCTCCTACTGGTTCTAATTCTTCCTTACAACATGACTAATGTGAAAATATGTTTAATAGGAATGTATATGTATAGCCTATATCAGATTGTGCGCCATCTTGGGGAGGGTGGTGGGGAGGTAGGGGGAGAAAAATTTTAAACTCAAAAGCATATGGAAGGGGCAGCTAGGTGGCGCAGTGGATAGAGCACCGGCCCTGAAGTCAGGAGGACCTGAGTTCAAATCCGGCCTCAGACCAAACACTTGACACATACTAGCTGTGTGACCTTGGGCAAGTCACTTAACCCCAACTGCCTCACTTAAAAAAAAAAAAAGCATATGGAAGTGATCATTGATGAATCAAAATAAATTAATTTTAAAAAAAGAGAGATGCAGGTTGCTATTCTTCAGCAGGAGGTTAGAAAAGTGCTTAGGGGGAATTTTCTGAATGGTGGCCCAAGGGTAGACATCTGTTGCTCACAAGGAACATGACTGGATGGATGGGCGGAATGAGGGTGAAGTCCGGCAGCTGGCTAGCTGCCACACAGCTCCCCCAGGATGCCAGCAGCTCTCTTGGAAGATAACGGACAATGATGCAGACTCTGTTAGTGGCTCTTTGGCCTTCTCAATGGGCAAGCAACTCAAAGTGTCCCAAGTGAGCTGGCCTGCTGAATGCCTTTAAGGCTCTCTACTCGACACTTTTGGCAGCACTGACACAATGGCTCCTGGCAGCGTGCCCTCAACACTGGTGGGCTGGGCTGCCCTTGTGCAGGACCAGACCTCCCTCCGCGGTCATCTCAGCTCTCCTTTTTGCTGCTGTCTGAAGCGAGGTCACAATCCCAGGGCCTGGGAGGCCATGTTTGTCTGCATGACATCACAGGGGGTTCAAAAAAGCCACACTGGCCTAACTTAAGGAGCAAAAACACAGAGCATTTCAAAGTGCAAACAGCCAAATTCTGTCTCATCCAACACGAAGACTTTCCTTCCTAGACAGATTATTGTGTGTCCTTCATTCTTGAAGAGGACCATGACTTCGGAAGATGATGACATAACTTCCGCTGACTTTGTTTTGAGGGAGGGAGGACTGTGCAAGGTCACCAGCTCACTTTCTCCTCCAGAGCCATCTGGGTCCAGTGGTCAGATATTCATCAGGATGACTGGAGATAGCTCAGCTCCTAGACACTCCTTCAAGGACCATCACTGCCCACAGGGCAATGCCCACAGGAGGATGTGCCCACTGAGGGGGAGTCAAGGTAAGACACTGTCTCAGCCCTTCAAATGCTTCCAGGCTGGCTGCGGAGCCACTGCTGAGACCTGCAGACACAATGCTACAAAGCCCCAGCTACAAGGTGCCTCTTCCCTCCAGTCCCCCAGCTGCACAGGACAACATAAGGTATAGAATTAGTCTCACTGAACAGAAGACAAAGCAGGGTTGGCCAGATCAGGGAGGCCCTTGAACGCCTGGTAAAGGGTTTGAACGGAATTATAAAAACAAAGATGAGCTACTGAAAGCTTATGACCCGAAGCACAAAGACTCTCTTCAAGACCCCCACCAGCGGTCACCTATTCTTGGCTTCAGACTCCCAGGACTGGGGAGCTTGCCTCCAAAGGGTTCCTCAAATGACTTTCCTGATGTCATTGGTCCTCTTGGAGAATGAAGGACAAATAACAACAACAACAGCCTCTCCTGAACGTTAACTACAGGGCTGCCGAGCACTCCTTGTTGGGCCAGGAGACTTCTAGGCCTTCCAGGAAGAAGCATATAGCTCACCAGCAAAACTACAGAGCAGTCAGCATTCTCAAATGTGACCAGACCTCAGCAGGAATGAGTGGGGGGGCAGCCCGCAGTCTTGTTAACCCAAGCTGCTGATACCATCACTGCCTCCCTCCCAATCACCAAGCCTCATCTCGTCTTCCTTCAGAGTACCTGACTTCCTTTCTGCTTCCAACTGATACCTCACATCATTCCTGGAGACTAGCGACAGCACTCCGACCAGGCTGGAGCCCTTTCCTCAGCACCCTACATGGGGTAAGTACTCTCCTTGGTCTGCTATCAATCTTCACCAAACCCCGCATTATGTTATCATCCTGGAGGCAGTAAAGATTAGTTTTTTGGCCTGCAAGTGCTACATCTAAGCCTAGCATCAAAGGCCCTCTAAGATAAGCTAGCTCCAACTTACCTTTTCTGCCCCCATCATCACCCCCCACCACCCCAGACCCTAGAACAAAGGCTCTTCACTTCTTAGATATATGGATCCCTTTGACTTGGCATTTCATGAAGCCTAGCCCCATTCTCTAAATATTTTTAAATGCATTAAAAAAACTGGCTCACAGAGGACACCAATAATATTGAAATACAACATGTCACCAGACATTAAGAAACAAATCTGCAGACCCCCAGGGGAAGAGCCCACACTCTAGAGGGTTCTTTGGGGTAGGCCAATCTCCTCCCTATCCTTTCATGCCTGCCACACTTACCTAACCCTTTTCCAGGCTTTTGATGATAATTGCTAGGTTTTCAGTTCCTTTACATTTCTTGTAACCAAGATCATCCTTCCTCTCTTTAATCACAGAATTAAAACCCATCACATTTCTGAACAGTAGTAAAGGGGAAGTTCACATGTGTGTGTGTGTGTGTGTGTGTGTGTGCCTGCTGAGGCATCTGGTCAAAAAACACTGGTACCTAAATAAGAAATCCCCATTCCATCTCTGCCCAGTCTCTCTGGTCATGCCCCGCCAGGCACCTCCTCCCCTGAAGCCAGTGCTGGGTGTCCAGCAAGCTCTTTCTGTTTTTTCCTGGCAGTAAGGTAACTCCCACTCTACCTCCCTAGCTCCTACAATGCTGTTCAGCCTGAAACCTCACGCACTTCCTTCTCTGGTTCATGTGTCCTTGGCCAGGACAAATGGCCAGGTGCAGAGATCTGGCCCTTAAGGAGCTGAGTATAGACCTGGCCCTGCTTGTTACATAAAACATGCAAGTAAAATGTTTGAGAACTTGAATAGAGCCTCAGGCTTTAGTACAGGTCCCTTTTTATAGCCCATGGGTGATCTCTGCTGTCTGCATAGCACATGGACATAGGGGATGAAACAGCAATCATCAGGCCCAAGTCAGACTGCCACAGACTGGACCCCTGGGGAGGAAGGCCTCTCCGTAAATGAGGCAGAACTGCTCAACTCACCTCTTTGCCCTTGGTAGAGCCACCTTCTGCCCATTCCACTGAGACAGAGGATCTCTCCAGATTTACTGTCATGACATTGGCGCTATGAATCAGGCCTAAAGAGGAAAAGGAGATGTGGGTGTGAGGAAGGATCAACGGAATGAATGCCCTGCAAGGTCCCAGGGCTGGCCAGAACTCCCCATTCTTTCAAGATCATATCAAGAAAGAGGTAGTGAGCCCCACATAGGCTGGAAGAATGGGAGTGGGGCCATGGGAAGCTCAGTGCTCTCTTCCTTCTCATAATACAAAATTGTAGCTAATGGACCTTTGGAGCCCTCAAAGAGAGCAACATGTCATGGGGTAAGGAGTCCCTACAACCAACAGGGCTCCAGGTCCCCAGTGTGCACTCAGAGCTGCCATGTCTCCTCCCCCTCCCCAGTTTCACAAGCCCACCTGGCCCATCTCATTGGTTCAACATTTATTAAGCATATACTCTGTAAAGCACTTTAGGGAATACAAAAACGCCCTTAAGGAGCTTATATAAGATCTAGCAGAGGGTCCATGGCCCATGTACCATGCCAGCTGGCACTCCAACCTCCAGGCACCCATAGACAGTGTGGTCACACCGTTGGTCACAATGGCCCCAGGCAAGCAAGGGGATGAGTCTCAGCCGCTTGACAGCACAGGTGAGAGAGCACACTGCCCAAAGCCGGCCAGGCTGCCCCTGTAGGCAGCCCTTTTAAGAAGGGGTCAAGCAAAGCCCTTCCCCATAGTATGGACCCTGCTGTCAGCAAGGCCGCCCCTCTCCCAGGAGAGGTGGAAGCCCAGGCTGGGCACAAGGCACATTCCCACCTTCTGGACTGGAGTCTCTGCCTCCTCCCCTCCCCCTCCTTTCTCTGGGGCAGGCTGGCAGCACTAGCCTGCGAAGGCTGGGACTGAGCCCTTAGAGGGGAGGCTCAAGACCTCAGGGGAGGGGGTTCGCCATCCATGACAGCCTCAATGCCCGCCCCCAAGTCCACTGGAAGGCATCTGAGCTCCGCCCATGGCCGCCACCTCCTCGCCCAAGCCAGCCCCACACCTGCTGCCCCAAGCCTGAAGCCCCCCAGCCCATGCCCCGCCCCCCAACAAGGCCCCACCCACGCGCAACACCAGCCCCGCCCCCATTGGCCTCAGCCCCGCCCAGGCCCTGGCTCCGCCCCCTCACCGTTGCTTCTTTGGATCTTGATGGCTAGGCCGGGGAGCAGGCGGGCTAGCAGAGTAGCGTCCATGGCGAGTCAGTCGGGCGAGACGAGTCGGGGAGCGAGGGGCGTTCGGGGGTCGGACAAGCCTCCAAGCAGCAGCGGCTGTGACGGCAGTAAAGGTGGCCGCCTTTTCCTTCAAGTCTAGTCTGTACCAACCGCCGCCGTTTAAATGCCGCGCGCCTGCGTCCTGCGTCCTGCGTCCTTGCGTCGTGCGCCCACTCTTCCGCCCCTTGGCGCGGCACGCTGCACCTCCTGGGAAATGTAGTTCCCGCTCAGCCTCAGATTTCTTTCGGCTTTCCAACTCTGCGTCACCTTGGTCCCTTCCCCTCCCCGGGTGACCGCAATGCGCCTGCGCGGCCCCGCCTCCCCCTGCCCGACTGGACCCACGTGGATTCAGAGTTCGAGACCCGTATCATTAGTTTATAAAAGCTGGACCCCCCCATTCCTGTAAGCCAGGGAATGGAGAGAGTAGCTGTAAAACCCAGTACTGGGCCCTAGAGAGAGGCTAAGGCTTCCTAGAGGAGACGGCGTTTGAATTCCCCGCTCTAGTCATAGGCGATTTTGGTAGCAGCTCCAGCCCAGCGACACGCTGTGGAAGCAGGGGCTGGATAAAGACGTGCTGCGCCCCCCGCTACGACGACCATAGCTGCCTCCTGGTTGAAGCTGGCTTACAAATAAATATCTGGTTGTTTTAATAAATGACATGACCCTTAGCCGTGCATTGGTGACATCTGTGATTTTGGGGGGGGGGCGTCATGTTTGATGGGGTATAGCCACATGGGCTTGGGACTCAGGGAATGGAGGTAAGAGTTCAGTCAATAAGCGTTTAAGCACCCACTACGTATGCCGGGCGGCGTGCTAAGATTTGGCATTTTTAGTAATTTGGGGCATATGCCCGCCAGAGCAGACTGCCAGATTTCAATTGAACCGTTAGGATTAGGGAACTCATGGATCGCTGCAGTGCCCTCTGATGGACCAACATGGACTGCTTGATATCTGGAAAACCTTTACGACCTTCTTAGTGCTGTCGTGGTTTTATAGCCCCTAAATTTCTCCCAATATGCCTCCTGCTCCCGCCCGGACAGCCAGCCCACATAACGAACTATTTTTAAGAGGGGAATAAAGGAGGGGAAGAAGAGGAAAACAAAATCAGGAAACGCCTCCCAAGCTACCGCTGCCCCAGCTGGAAGGGGCTGCCTGGGGAGGCAGTTGGACTCCCTGCTCCTGGGAGGGCTCCCAGCACAGGCTGGATGCCCACTTGTCCCGAAATATAGTGGGTATTTTTTCAGACATGGGTTAAATTAGATAACCACTGAGGTCCCTTCCAGCTCTAAATTTGTCATTTGGTGACATTGGACTTTTGATAGTTTCTACCCAACTGCGCCTGGTTCTGCCAGACCTCTCCCTCGAGGAACAGCCTGCCTAGTACAGCTCTCAGGTCCTGCTCCCCACCCTCACCCCTAGTCTTCTCTTCTCCGCTAAACATCCCCAGTTCCTTCAACTGACCTTAGATTTGTTTTGCTTACGACTAATTCCGTCTCTCCATCCCAACTAATTCTTCCTTTTCTTTCCTTTTACCTTGTCAAATGAAATTTCTGTACCCAACTGCGTGTGCCTATTCTTCCTTCTTTTGACCAGTTCAGATAAGGGTAGATTTCAAGTGTCAGCCACTTTCCTGACCCCTTCCAATGTGTATGCCTGTCTACCTTCCTAACTTGATCATGTGAGATAATCCTTTCTGTTCAGTCTTTCGTGATCCTGATTGTGGCTCTTCCTGGCTATTCACAGTATTCTTTCCTTGACCTGAGATCTCTGGATTTTGGGCTGTAATATTCTTGGGAGTTTTTGTTGTGGGGTTTCTCTCAAGATGTAACTGGTGGATTCTTTAAATTTCTACTTTGCTCTCTGGTTCTAAGATATCTGGGTAGTACCCTTTTATGATTTCTTGAAATATGATATCCAAGTTCTTTCATGGCTTTCAGGTTATCCATTGATTCTTTTTTTTTTTCTGGTGAGGCAATCTGGGTTAAGTGACTTGCCCAAGGTCACACAGCTAGTACATGTCAAGTGTTTGGTCTGAGGCTGGATTTGAACTCAGGTCCTCTTGACTTCAGGGCTGGTGCTCTATTCACTGCGCCACCTACCTGCCCCGGCCATTGATTCTTAAAAGATCTCTCCTCAATCTAATTTTCCAGGTCAGTTCTTCTTCTTCTTTTTTTTATTAATTAATTTATTTTGAATTATCAACCATCACTTCCATAAGTTTTTGAGTTTTAAATTTTTCTCCCCCTCCCTCCCCAAGACAGCACACAATCTGATATAGGCCATACACATACATTCCTATTAAACATATTTTCACATTAGTGATGTTGTAAGTAAGAAATAGAACCAATAGGAGGAACCACCAGAAAGAGGAAATAAAACACAACAGAAGAAAAAAAAATAGCAAATAGTATGCTTTGATCTGCATTCAAACTCCATAGTTCTTTCTTTGGATGTGGATAGCATTTTCCATCATGAGGTCTTTGGAGATGTCCTATATCCTTGTATTGCTGAGCAGTTATTCTTCTTATGAAATTTTCTTCCATGTTTTCCGTCTTTTGACTTTCATTTTCTTATTTCTTGATGTCTCATGGAGTCATTAGCTTCCATTTGGTCAAATCTAATGACCAAGGAGTTATTTCTTCAGCAAGGTATTGTGCTTCTTTTTCTAGGTTATTAATTCTCTTCATATCTTTCTTTCCTAGCTCTTGCCTCTTTTCTCATTCTTTCTTCTAGTATTCTCTTTCGTCTTCTTTCGTCTTTTTTTTTTTTAGCTCCTTCTTTAACGCTAGCTTTCACTCTTCTAGAAATTCTTATTGGACTTGCTCTGAACTGCATGTATATCTGAAGCTTTGCTTGCAGATTTTTTTTTTTTTTGAGATGTTCTCTGTGTCTTCAGCTCCCATCACCACAGTAGTCTTTATGGCCGGATTCCTTTTTCTTGTTTGCTCATTCCTCCTGCTTCTTTCTTGACTCTGGACTTTTTGTTAGGGTTAGGCTTCTGTGTAGGATGTTGGCCTGAGCTCCTGTCTTCTTACATCCTTCTGCTTGAGGTTGGGGGCCTATATACTTTCAGTGGTCCCGAAGTCATGTGATCTGGGAGAAGGTCTGTTCACTATCCACCCAGTCTGAGCTCTGCAAGTACCTGGGCTTGTTTATGGTTGGAAGTTTCAGCAGACTGCTTCTGGACTCAGCCACTATTGGCCTTTTGGGAGGTTCTGCAGGTTTAGAACAACTGAACTGTCACCTCCCCTTTGGTCTGAGATGCTGCTTCTGGGATCAGAGCCACGAAGCTACTGTTTCCTTCCCTGAACTTATTCCTTGCTCAGTATACAGCTGGGGCCAAATGCCTGTACCATTCCAGGTCTGAAGGCTCCTAACCTGATCCCCTCTCCAGTGTCCTTAGACACTGTCCATTTCCTTAAGCTGCCCTGGGCTAGAAAAATGACTCACTGTGACTTCTTCTTGGCTTTCCCCTTCAACATTCAGTCGGGCGCATTATTCAGATCTTTGTTGAGAAGGTGTGGGGGGAGAGCTACACTCCCATGCTTCCTCTCACCCTGCCATCTTGACCACCTCAGGCCTGGTCTTTTCTTTGAACTCTGAAGGGAGGGGCTTGGGCCTTCACCCTAGCTTAAGGGGAGCAAAGTTCAGTCTCTGAAGGCTGGACCATGAACCATGTGGTAACTCTTTGCCCAATAGCTGTCAGGCAGCTCTGAGGTTCAGTCACCACTGTTATTAAGATGAGCAGGTAGGGAAAGAGGAACAACTCTAAACCCAGAGCGCAAGGCCATTAGATCTGTTAGCTGTCCAAATTGGCAGATACCAGTGAAACGGGAATATAGACACCCTCACAAAAGCACACTTAGAAAGGATACTCTGTTTATTGGACTTGCTCCCATCTCTCAGAGACTCAGAGGTTGGGAGGGGGGCTTGAGGGGCAGCCAAGGACCCCCCCCCCCATGGTGGAAAGCCTCCCCTTCTTGCATGCCTGTAGCTGCTTCTGCACCTCATCAGCCTCAGTGGCTTCCCCTCTCCCCAGTCTGGTGGGCAGCCAGCAGGCAGGGATGAGGGTACAAGGCCAGAGGTGGGACGGCTTTAGCAGAACTTCATCGGCCCTTCATTATCCTTAGCTCTCTCCTCTTTCGTGTCATCTTCCTCCCCAGACCTGGGGACTCCAAGGCCCTTGCAGGCAGTCACGGAGATGTTGGAAGAGGAGATGCCTAAAGCTGGAAGTTGGAGGCAGACGTGAGTCTCCAGGCTGCCTGTGCTCCCATCCCCAGCTGAAGCCCTCCTCCAGCCTTGAGAGCCTAGCTCACCCTCAGGGATGTTGATCTTGTTGGAGGCTAGGATGTCAGCTTGGATGCTGTCCATATTCATGTACAAGTCCTCTGCATTGCTCTAGGAAATGGGGGCATTAAAGTTAAAGTGAGGTGGCTTTGGGGATGGGGAAGGGGGTGCTGTGAAGGGGCCTGCCCCCTACCAGGCCTGGGTTGCCTTAGGCCATGGTGGGAGCCACAGAGAAGCAGGATGGGATTGGCCCAGCTGAGTAGCACCGAGAGATGCCTAGGCCCCAGCACAGCCTGGCCTCCTGAGAAGGGCACAGAGGCACATGTGGAGGCAAACTGCCAACTGGAAGCCCACAGAGGTTTGTGGGGGTGAGGACTAGGCTCCTGAGTTAGAGGAACTGAGCTGAGGCTGGGCCTAGGCCTGGAGCGGGTGGGGGGGGGGGGAGATCACCATGAAAAGCTCAAACAGAGTGTCCCCCATGGCCATGTGCACATGCTCCTCCACTATGGGAAACGTCTGGACAAAGTACTATGGAGAGAAAGAAGAGAATGGAGCCAGGAGATGCTGGCCATAGTCCCAGACCCCCTCTTCCCCCCACCCCCCCATGCCCCAGGCCCCACCTCTCCCTCCCCCCCAGGTACCTGTCCCCACTCCCAATCCCAGGGCTCCCCTCCCCAGGCCCCAGCCCTTCCCTGAAGCCCCTGCCCCCCACCTCCAAGGTGAGGCTGGCCAGGCGTTGCCCATTGCTATGGTCCTGGTTGCCCATGGCATACATCAGATGACTGACTACCTGCAGGGACAACAACTCCTCTGCTACAGCCATGG